TGTATTTTGGCTGACCAAATTACTCATGAGCAGTGAACTCATGAATAAGTTATGAAAGTCATTACTACAAGTGCCAATAAAACCTTTTTTATATGGGATTGCTGTATATTCTACATATGCAACTTATTTTACAGGACAGCCAAAACTCTGTATAAGACACTTTTTAGAGAGTCTTAAAAAATTTTATGGGAACCATTTCTTCTATCCTTGCAACTGCAAACCAGGCTTTAATTAAAATAAGCCATGCTGTACTGTGCTCAGAGGTACAGAAAATTTAAAACATCTCTCAAACTTACTACTGTCAGCTTTTACTTTCTCAGAAGTCACAACCCACCAGAATCAGAAGGAAGTGCTGTCACTCTGGAAAAGCATAATTCTCCTGTGGATGAAAAAATTCTGGATACAATTCTGAATGGTCATGTAGTTAGAAACCTTATGTTTATCAAAAATCCAGGATCAAATATGGCATATTCTGAACATTAATAGTTACAGTTTTCTAATGGAGGGGAAATTCCAAAAGGAAGAGAGGACATGTTAGGTTAAACTAGTTTTATCAGGAAAATACCAACTTTCTCATGACACTTAAAAATAAAATAATCAAATCCTAAGAAGATGATTCAGGAGAGTATTAATGAGGATATCTATCCTGCTCCATTTCCTCCACAACTACAGGACAACAAGAGGGGAACTATGGAAAGAAGGATGAGTGTGTACAGGAACTTTTCCCCCCACAAGATTTACAAACCAGTCTACTTTAAGTCAACAAAGTTGTGATAAAAAGGATGCTTCATGATGCATGAACCTCTTCAGCATTCTTCTCAGAGTTAAATGCTTGCAGGTAGTTTTTTTCCTTGCTGAAATGTCACACAAAGGCTCAAATCCCCAGGAGTTGGTAATTGGCATTGTTTTCAGGGTAGCTGTAGGCACATAGGGTGCAATTAAATATAAATATAGACAAATATAGTTTTTTCCATCTGAATGGGTTATCTACATTTTTTTTTTCACCTGTATGGAATAAAACTAAGAATTTATCAGCACCCAAGATAGACCAGTCTGAAGTAAATAATCTGAGCTCTGAAAGTGTTTTCTTTCCCTCAGCAGCAGAGGATTTCTCCACAGCGCTCCACCACCTTTTTGGCATTTGCAGGCAGAGGTGAATCCAATCCACAGACCTTAATCCTGGCTGCCAACTTCTCCACCAGTTTGCTCCACACACCACCATTTACACACATGTAAAATTAGGCACCAAAGACCTCTTAAATTCAGTATTATTAATTCAGATCCTGCTAGGTCTGTGACTGCAGAGCACACATCAGAAGTTAGTTTGTGATTTTCTTTACTCAGCCAATGACAGGTCTCCTGCTAATGCTGGATCTGCAGTGTGGAGCACATTTTGACATATTTGCTAGTTACGTAAAGATATTTCCTGGTGACATTTTTTTCAGTTATCAGCTGCAATACTGTAATACCCTTTGCTTGCCTATGTTGCTTTCTGAAGTGATTTGCCACTACTGTCAAAATACCAGCATATCAAAGAGCAAGAGTGTAGACATCAGCAGTCCTTGCTGATTGCTAGCTCTGTGTCCTCAGTGTAATTCTTTCCCAAGAAGTTTACAGGCACAATTTACTTAAGCTATTAGTACTCACGTTTTGTCTCACTACCTTTCAAACTCTGAGATGTCAGCTGGACTCCTGTGCTCTTGCCCAGGGACTTTCAAGATGTATTATACACAGCCAGTGGGGGGAAGCACAGAAATGCCAGAGATGTGCCACGCTCCCACTGCTCTCCTGGCTGCTGCGTGGAGCAAAGCCTCCGTCCTCCTGCCACAGATCCCAGGGTCCTGGGCAGAAGGGGGCTCCTCATGAGGCAAGACAGGAAGATGTGACAGGAAATAAAGAAATGGCACAATGTATCCAACAGCTAAATGAATAAAAGCCTTGGTAAAGCACTCCCTGTGCCCGGGCTGCCAAGGCAATTCAACCTGAGAAAAACTGGGCTGCTGCCTGAAGGGCCAGCAGTGACATCCTCCCTCCAGCTGATGGGAAATGCTCAGTTCACAGCATGGGACAGCAGGGACACGTGGGAAGGGGACATTTTACAGCAGGATTTATTCTGCTATGAAGAGCTCTGGGGCTGTACTCTGTGTCTTACTGGCACGGACTGAAACCTGCTGGACAGTCATGCGTACACTTGGATGGATCTTGACTGACCCTCATTTAAATTCAGTGTGTGTCCTTCGTGTTTGCAGTAGGAGGCAGTTTGGGATTCACAGGCCAGGGCAACACAGCATCCAAGCAGCAGGCACATGGAGCAATTTAGATTATTTTCATAATGCCTGTTCCCACAGATTCTTCTGAAACGTGATCTCTAATCCTGATTTTTTTTTTTTTTTTTCTCAACCTGCCTGTGCTTTGCCTCTTGATCTCCATCATGTGTCAGTGGAGATGACCTCACTTCACCCCACAAGCAAGTGGGTTGACTGCTTTAGGAATTTTCTTTTATTTCCAGTTAAAGTGAAATGACAGGGAACTGCACGACAAGGGAACAGAGCAGAGCACCGATGGTGCTGAACTGCAAAGGCTGGGAGCACTTGGGAAGAGGCTCCTTCAAGCATCTGTCACAGCAAGCTCTTATCATCTACGGCCTAGGTACTTACATCTAAACATGGCAAAGGAGGGGAAGGAAAGCAACATCAAACATCTGAGTTACAGAGCTTTAGCAGACGTTAAAGGAGGAGGTACAAAAATTGTTAGTGGGAAGAACAGTGGGGAATTGGAAAACTGTGGATAAGAACATTTACACTAGCTGAGAAACAAATCAAAAAAGCTTATTTTTAAAATACAATCCAAAGCAAAAACAACAGCAACAAAAACCCCCAAAACAACAAAACAAACTACACTTGAAAAAATAATGTTTAGAACTATATGATTCAACTTAATATCTGGACATCATCAACATTAGATATTTTCTGCAAAACCTGACTGATACTTGGGATGGTGTCAGGCTAAGTGTCCTGAGCCCCCTCACTTCAGTAACACAATAAAAAGACATGCAAGACAGACAATTTTCTTCTTTTAGGTGCTTTGTTCTGCAGCCTCATTCATGCCTGCTGTTTATTTTGTTCTCTTCAGGTGTGGTCACACCTGCAGCATGGTTTAGCAAAGCCCAGCATGGCCCAGCACATCCAGTGCAAAGCCAAGCAGTAATCGACACCAAAGCAGGGAGCCCCTCACCAATTTACTCACCCTGGGCTCAAAGTTCCAATCCAAGCTGCACTGTGACCTGTGCCCCACACATTGTCATTGTGTTTTGCAGTCCTAAAATGCTGTTTTCTGTTTTTTCCCTCCCAGTTTTACTTGCACTGATCTGATGCATCCATAAAGATGGAAAATGAGTTGGAGGATGTAGAATGAATGTTAACATTTTACTTATACTGTTTTTAGTTATACCACGGTGACCCAAAATAACTTCCTTATATAGATGTGGCTGTAAACACTGGCTATATTTATGACAATTATTCTGACTGACTCATTGATTTTTATTTTTTTAAGGTAATTCTTCATAGGTTTGGCACTTCCCTGAACTTTTCTAAAATCCAGTGAAGTTCTGCCTGTCAGCAGGGACAGCCACTACTTTGCTTGAAAGGAAAAGATTCAGAGGGACCAGGACTTAAGAAACAAAAGTTGTAACAGTAAAGGAGAATCAGTATCAGACTTATGAACCTGATCCAGCTTGTGATCATAGTCTAGGGTCAGTCTTAAGCAGTGTGTTTTGGGAACAGTCCTTCAGAGATCTCCACATTCCTTGTCAAAACATCAGCAACTCAGGAAAACCCAAATCATTATTCCAGGAGGCTGAAAGGAGACAGTACTGAAATACCCATGATCCACTGCCTAGGTAGGGCAGCAGTTTTAGACTCCACAAAGGTTTTCCCAGCCCCTGGGGCTGAGACAGGCATGGTAGGCAGCAGTTCTGCCTGTCGTTTCCTCAGACAAGCAACCAGCCTCTGCTTGCTTCTGCTCTAAATCTGGGGCACTTTATTCATTGCTCCCAACTGAATGCAAATCTCTCCCCACAAAACCAGACTGAGCCACGCTTGGCCACGGCCCCCGAGGCGGCTCATTTGTGACAGAGCACATATATGTACACACAGCAGAATCTTATCTCACTTAAGTCAAGGGTTTGCCTCAGGTCTGGGAAGGCCAAGGAGTTGTTCCAGATAAGGCATGTTATCTCTGATAGTTTGTGGGAAGCAGACACAGGCCTGCTGCATCCCAAGCTGCATCCACTGATCCCTCACCCCAGCTCTGCGCTGAAGGCAGCGCTCCCGAGCTCAGCACCAGGCTGGCACTCAGAGCCCCGAATCCCAGCCACCAGAGCTTAATCCATATGTGCTCAAGCAGCATCCCAGACCGTGCAACAGATGGCTGAGAACAGCTGTCTGTGAAACACTCTGAGAAACATGAATGAGCACCAGAAGGAAAACAGAGATTCCCAGGGACTGTTCCTCAGCAAAGGGGTAAGTTACTGCTTGATCTTCCAAGAACCAGATAGCAGGCAATCTCTTCTGCCCTCCTGCAGAAACTCCTTGAAATGTGGTCAGTGTTATGAGGCTACACAAATGGTGAACAGACCTTGCCAAGTGTGTTCAAGAGAAAATGTGAATAACAAAAAAAAAAGTAATTTAAAACCAACACTTTTATTCCACTCAGAATATGATTTCAATTCAAAACTGGCTTATAGTCAAGTACAAGGTGACATAAACCTTGAAAGATGTGCCTGAAACATCACCCTGAAGAATATTTTCACTGACCTCCTTAGCAGAAATATCTTTTATCAAACATTGTATCAACAAAACTAGATACATCTACAAGATTAAACTCAAAAGAGTTTATTATTTTTGATTGATTTTGAATCACCTTCTCAAAAGACAAAAAGAGAGATAAAAGGAGAAGAGAAAAAGTTAAAATATACCTGTGATAGAAGTACAGTGCTTTTTTTTTTTTTTTTTACAGGGTTATGTTTCTGAATGCCTGAGAAAAGTATGAAGTCAAACCAATGTTTAACTTAGGCAGACATTTGCCTAGGCCAGCCTGGCTCAGTCACTTCATGCCTCTGTTAACATGCAGGGAATGGGGCGTCCTGAAAGCTCCAGAGGGTGGGGTGCCCACCCAGAGGGAGCTCTGGCAGCAGCTTTGGAGAACCAAACAGAGGCACCAGACTCCATCAGATCCAGTGCACCTCCTGTGTGCAGTGAGGATTGAGGTGATTCCTAACCCCACTGGAGCACAGCAGCAGGCAGGGATGGGGAGCAGGAACGGGCAGCAAGGCGCTGGCTCCTGGGTCGGATATGGGCGAGGTGGGTGGCTGGACAAGGCTGCCACGGGGGAGAGCTGAGGCAAGAACGCTTTCACAAACCTTCCTGCAGCTCTCAGGATTTCAGCAGGGGTAAATTCAGCTGTGGTAGGGTGGCAGGAATGCTGGAAACAGTGGCCTGCTTAGAGCAGGAGAGGAGTCTGCACAGCAGTGGGGTTCTCCCAGCCTCGGGAGTTAAGCGTGGTTGACAAGGTCCTTAGGCAGGCACAGCTGTGGGAAGAATCCCAGGCTGAAGTTCCAGGCTGGTGTGGATGAAATCTGCTCACCTAAGGTAGAATCACAGAATCATTAAGGCTAGCAAAGGATTCTCAGGTCTCTGAGTCCAACTGCTAGCCCCACACAGACATGTTGACCCTTAAACCATGTCCCCAGGTGCCACATTCACCTGCCTCATGAATAGGGGATGTGATGCCACCACTTTCCTGAGCAGCCTATTCCAATGCTTGATCGCCTTTTCAGGGAATAAATTTTCTCTGATTTCCAATCTAAACATTCCCTGGCACAACTTGAATCCATTTCCTCTCCTCCTGTCACTTGTTACTGACACTGACTTTGACCTCTGGTAGTTCTAGAGAGGAATAAGATCCCACCAAGGTCTCCTCCAGGCAGGACAAAAGGAGGCACAAAAGGAGTAAAAAGAGGCAGATTTCCTGGATTTTAGTGTATTTCTTTCTTTGTCACTCTGCTTTTTTCCCTCTAACCCTTCAATTAACAGATGTGGAGTAGAGAAATCCTGTATATTGCTACCTTACTTGCCATTTATGGCTAGGCACTAATTTGTAGTTGTGTTGACTATTTTCAACAGAAATCTCTTGAAATGGAATCTCACTCATGTTGGAGGCAGTCAGTTCCCAGCAAGTTGACAGACAATGAGTGCTCCCTCACCTATTAAAAAAATATGCATTCAGCCAGCTAACATACATGATTTCCTAAACACAGCAGCCAGCACATTGAGTACCCGGTGAGCACACCTCACATCCGTGAAGAGATTTGCTGATGAATAGCAATGCACTTAGAGTTTCTATATTGTGCTTTTCAATACAGTTTTAAGCAATGTTTTGTCCCTAAACAAGGCGTGGATACCTCTCTAACAGCTGAGAGACCACAGAGAGCTGAGAAAGCAAAGGGTCAGGCTGTTTAGCTTCCAACAAGCTCCTTGAAAGCTCTTGAAATTTCATTTGCTTTCAAGGAGAACATTCAGTGGGAAAGAGATTGACTTTTCTGACCAGCTCATTGCCAGCCCTGCCACCGACCCTGCTGTGAGACCTTTTGCAAGGCTTTGTTTCCCTATGTCCTCTCTGACTCTTCACAAGTTTCTCTTATTTAGAAACAAGTTCTTCAGGAGGCTTTTTCTCACCACATATTTTTGCAAGTCTTGGCACAACTCTTCTTTAATCCCTAGATGATGTCAGATAACACAACTGTGACACTGCAGCGTTGAGAGCAAGACCCAGGCAAGGTTGCATCCGCCAGGAACTCTCACCAGCAGCACCTCCGCTGCTCGAGCTGGGGCCAGGTCTCACACACCCCCTTTCCTGCTCCTGGAGAGCCCAGGCCTTGCAGACACAGACCAAACACACTCCTGGGTGCTGTCAGCATGTAACCAAGCAGCAGAAGAGAGGAAATGGCTACCAGCCAAAGTCTTCCAAGCTTGCAAAGCGCCTCAGAGACAACTCCTTCCCTTCAGTTTCTCATGGTTGCACTTGTTAATTATCCCATTTATTTCTGTGGAGTAAACGGTAACCTGTGCATCTTCTGCAAGTACATGAATGTGGTTGGTTCTATGCTAATAGCTCTTTTCCAGAAATTTGTATGTGGCTGACAAAAAAAATAAAGAAAACAAAACAGCAAAGTCAAAACTGTTGATCTGAGTTCCATCCAAAACTGGATGCAGAAAAGCACAGTGGACCTAATTTGGCTTCATTTTGTGCATGATCAGGCTGCCTTAATTTTGGCAGAAATTAGCCAGTGCTGGGATTACTGAAGCCTGTCACTGTGCATAAACAACCCTGGGCAAGAGCCTGAGCCCTGCCCTGCACTTCTGTATCTGACAAAGGCAGTAGGAGCACATACTTCGCTTCCTTGCGAAAGGCACACACAAAAAGACATAACCCTATTTAAAGGAAAATTAATGGCACCTTTTATCCCTGCCACCAGCTCTGTGGTTTCTCGAGGAGCAGATGGCAGTGCTGCATGCAGCAGCTCTGCTCCTCGCCAGGGCCTTCGGAGGCACGTGGCAAGGGATGCCTGCAAGGGTCGGCAGACAGCTGTCCTTTAGTGCAACAGGATTCCTGCTCTCCCTTGCCCTGCCCAGAGCAGCCCTTTCCCCACACTCCTATTTGACATAAAAGCAATGAAGTCTAATGTAAACACAGTTAAGCAACTTTTTTACTCTTTGTTTTATAATAGGACTTTTAAAAGAACCATTCATTTAGACAGACAAAGCGCTACTTCGCTAACAATATTTCTTTAACCACCCGTTTATCTGCTAAAAACACTGGTGCTGTGCCTTCAAATAGCCCTTTCTGAACCAGAGGTAAAGAAAATAAACTAATTTTCATTACAAGTGCTTTCCATCTTTCAATTAATTTTTTTTTAACTTGAAATGCAGCCTAAACCTGTATTCTCTGAAATCTGAAAAAGCCAACAGCAACAAATGCTTTCTACAACTCTCATGTCCCTCTTTTCTTCATTCTCTAAGCAAACTTTAAGAAATCTTCACCTGGGCATTTTTCCCCCTCATAATTTTTATGACCCAGTGAGCATCTTCCAGAATTCACAGAATTAAAGTAAAGAAAGGTCTGACTAGACAAGTTTCAAACTATTTAAATGTGTGTGAGACAGAAATGCAAAAGAGAACACGTATGGAAGTTGAATATTTGCTTTTGCAGCATTTCTCTAGGCAATTCTTCTTTGCCCCCAGTTCCACTCACACATCTATCATCAAATATTTTCACTGTGTGATCAACAAGCTATGAATGAAGTGACTTGTTACTGCTTACCCTCCTGCTGTATTTTAACAAAAGCAGAGATTTGAAAAGGCAACCCGCGATGCTAAATGCCCGTACTTCTTTCAGCTTTCCATCATGCAAAGGATCTAAGCCAGACATCATGGAAAGGCATATTGCCATCTGTCCTATATGCATGTTCTGAGATGCACTTGCTTGCCAAGATCACTGGATTATTTGCCATTTTCTGATTGCTGTTTATCTGCTGTCTTTGACCACTCATTGTCCTGAAGGCCTTCCAGTGATTTCTGCAAGGCTACTCTGTTAGTGCTTTTACAGGGACACTGTGTGTGCTGGATGCTTTCTTATAAATTCTTAACTATACAGGTTCCATATTCTACTAATTTATGATTGAAAGCCAGGAAGAAATGTATATAATTTAGCAAAGCCCCAAACCCCCTTCATCTTCAAATTTTGCGGGGTCCTTGACACCAACCCCAGCCAACATCTGATATTGGCTGGGAGTGCAGTATAGCTGTGCAGGGGTAAATGTTCTCTCATCACCACATTACACTTACTGAAGGGGTCTGTGCTTTGATCATAAGAAACAAACAAGCCTGGACTCAGCTGGGGACCAAGCTGGGGACCTGCAAGGTGAACAAGTAGCATGGCAACCTCTTTTCCAGTGTAGTCCAACTACAGAACACCTACAGGGCTGAAGTGGCAATCTGAACCCTGTTTTGTTTTTCTTTTTTTTTCCCCATCACTGAAAATTTCCCCATGACTTCTTTTAAATACATTCCTTTCTATGGCAACAATTATTTTTTATGCTTTTCACAATAACAGAGAAAATCACTGCCATTCATTCCCTTTGTGGGAGGTGCACAAGTGGGAAATATTGATTTCTTTGCATATTGTTCAGCTTGGTATTACTGCTTGGCATGTTTCTGCTTTCATCTCTCATCCCCACTGCACTCTACATTTCCAGTAGTCAAGCACTACTGAGCATTGTCATACCTATGTAATCACAATTAGCTCCAAATAATCTTTTTGGGCATCTGGAAAGAGTGATTGCTTTTAGTAATGCATGTGCTTACCACAGCCCTGAGTTGGTTGAAAATATCAAATGTATAGGATTATAAACATCTTTTGTTGAGCTTTACAAAAAAATAAAAAAGGTAAAATTACTAGCTTCTGACACACATACAACTCAGAGTAAGGTAGGTCATAGAAGAGGAGGAAAAAACTACTAAAACCTTGACCAGCTGTCCTCACCAAAATCATCTCCAGTAAAAGTTAAGCCATCCAGCTCTGCACCATGTTCCTCACATCCCCATGGACTTTTCTCCCTCCATGCAGGTGTAGAAGGTGCAGAAGATTGCTGGATGCCTGTGGTGAGCCCCCCATGCCACAGTTCATGCTGACACTTGTGGAAGAGATGACGGCAGAACAGGGTGAACAAAACAGTTCCAGCCTTGGTGAGAATGTACCTATCACAAGGAATAACATAGCCTCGGGCTCCTTGTCAAGGAAAAGGAAATACAGCCTGCAATGAGCTTGAAAACCTTATAAAAATTAAATGCAATCAAGAAATAACAGCCTGTTCAAACAAGAAAGAAAGAAATCTCCCTTTATGCCTCTACACAGGCCACCCTGCCTGTGCCATCTGCACAGTAATGAGGAAAAGTTTTGTTCCTCTGCTGCAGGTGCCCCCCAGCATTATGGTGTCTGAGAAACACTCATCTGTTAGCCAAGACTTGAGTAACATCCACAAGATGCAGCCTAAGAGGCTGAGAAGCTTTATTGTTGATATTACCTGTCAGCATGAGGCCTTGCTTCCCAAAAATAGATCCAGGAACATCAAAGCGCCTTCCAGTGCAGACAACATCTGGAGCCATTTGCACCTATTAATTTTGGAGCAGAGTCAGGAAGAAAGAGCAGGCTTTTCAGCTCTCAAGGTAAATATTTATTTATTTGCCTAGATCCTGAATGAGTGGTAACTTCAATCGATCCCACCTCGGTCAAGGGTGGAAGAACTGGGTCACACCCCATGCAAGCAGTTTCCTGGTTCAATTGATGGGATTTTCCACACATCTCATAATCACAAAATTCTATCTACCCTGGGATGAAACTCACCAGCTGCCATTCTCACAGATATATTCCTGCTTATCCTTTGAGTGATTTTTAAGTTATTGAGCCAAGTCTGTGCTGGATGCAGCCCATGCAGAGGGACTCTGCTTTTCCCTGGTACCACTGCCCAGCCCTGAGCTACCATCCCTGCCCTGGTCAGTGCCAGGGTGCAGGTTCACCAGGAGCTCTGCCTTGGCATCACATGGCACCAGGACAATTACAGGCACTTCGACAAGTTCAGCAAATGTAATTGTTCTTGTTTTGCCTTGTACTTTACTGTACATTGATTTCCCGCCTTTATTTTAGCAGTTCCAGCTAAGCTTTGATTTCCCCAGATTTTTGCTTCCTTTGAACCACACACTGCTCCAATTATTGCTACAGTCAGTGATGCTTTAGTGTTTATTTTGCATCCTTTTATTAGTATGTCTTGAGTATACAGTGTTCTTCTTGACTATAAAAGACTCAGCCTTTAATTTGAGAAATGTTTGTGGTTTAGCTTTCATCTTTGAATTTTACTGGTTTTTGTACGTCTGTTAAAATAGTTGAAGGAATGTATTACCATTTCTATACTTCTATCTAGATTTGGGGTATTTCTATACAGACAGTGTAGCTGCTGTTGGGTTTTTTCCCTCCATTTTTCCTTAACCCACTCCCCAAAACTTCCACTTGCAGTTCAAAGCACTGTTTAAATATTTTCCTTATCTCCTCAGCCTTCTCCATAATTTTTAAGATCAGTGAAGGACTTAAAACTCAAATCTCAAACCGACTCCACAACAGCATTATTAAAGAAAAAAAAAAAAGAAAAAGAGTGGGAGGTTCACAAAACCAATGTAATCTGCACTCCCCAGGCACTGCAATTCTCTGCTTCTCACAGTAACAGCAGCTGAGATACAAATAAAGTGGCACATGATCCATCATTAATAACAGGAAATAACCACAACTCCACTCTACCTGACTTTGAAAGCAGGACCTTTATTGAAAAGAGAGTGACCAAAATCAGTCCATCATATATCACAGCAATGGTGCTGGTGCTAACATATAGCTCAGGGTTTCTTCACTCAGAGCCAACATCCATTGCAAAGCTTCAAAAGCAGGTACCTAAATTTCCTGTGTAGCCAGGGGAGGTGCATAGGAAATGGAGACTATTCCAGGCCCCACAGTTCAATGCTGACAAGATAAACCCATACATTTTTTTATGTCATCTAAAGTTGTCGTGTCAGGGTCTGCCCTCTAAAAAACCCTCAAGAGAATGCTCTTCACTTACATGGGACATGTTTCTGCAAAGCAATGGAATATACCTGCTGCTTCTAATGCAGCTGGCCCTGCCAGAAACACCATGGAAGTAAGATACTGTTCTTTATTAAAATAAATTCCCAGGTGTCATGCCTGGTGTTAAATTTTCTTATGTTTCTTCTTATAACATGAAATTCTCCCATGTTATTGTTCCATGACTGAGAAAATCCTTCTGTACAATGCCACTATAAGACACAACACTGTGGGCCCTGGGTCAGAGATGGGAGGAAGAGGAAGCTGTGCCTTGCCTAGCACAGACCACAGCTGGAGGACTTGGCAACTTCTCTGTGTGCCTTCTGCAGGGCACCTTTCCCCTTCAGTTTATTTTACACCCATGCCAAGGAGCTTTTTCAGTCCTGCACAGGTCCTAAGTTCTGGTTTGACAACTCCCTAAGCTAAAATAATTTATTTATCTAGAGAGCAGCTCTTTCTGCCCCGTTGAAAACATTCAGTTCCTACCTAGTTTTATCCTGTAATAGGGAGGAAAGGACAATTCATCTCCTGGGCTCATTCATTATTCATAGATCTCTAATGAGACTCCAGCTGAAACAGCCAATCTACATCAGGTGAGACAATGACTACTGCCAGGAGAGGACTCTTGTGAGACCAGGGATTCATTTCACACAGTGCTCAGCTCGTGGCTACAGCAGTACTAGAAGCTGAATTCACACTGAAATGCTGGAAGTTAATTCAGCTCTGGGGGCTTCTAAAGAAGCAAGAGGAAAAAGCTGAAACCAAAAGAGCCTGAAATTAATTTTCTAAATTTATCTGGGAGCGTTGCAGAGAACGATAATTCCCAGAGAGCTGGGGAGTTTTAGTATTTTGCTTTACTCCTGTTTGGAAGTATCAGGAACTTTCAACGGCTCAGGACCCCAGATCATCAGACACACTTTTACAGGGTTCTTGGATTTTTGTCTCCCCCTCAACACACTGATGGAGTGAGAGGACTCAGACAGCTGACCTGGAAGTCTTGAAGCTGCTGACTTCAAGGAGATCTTAATCCCAGGGGGTCTTACACAGCAAAGTAAAGTGGTGAGGGGCCAGGGAGGACTCAGACACTCTCTGAGCAATCAAACTAGTCCCCAGGGATAATTACAGCCCAAAGAATCTGCACATGCTGCACAGAGGGGTTTGCACTGGGTCTAATGGCACTCAGGTATCAAAAGCACTGACCCACTGTCACCAAGTCCTGCAGAACCTGCTACCTCCAGAGTGCTTCTTCAAACAGAAAAGCATCAAGGGAATATTTCCAGTCCCTGCATAGGCATTCAGAAACCTTCCTTCCAGTGCCAGTGCTTCTGCTTGGTTTAGGTTCCACTATCAGGATCACTGGAGAGAAAGAAACAAAACTTTGAACACAAAGGTAAGCCGCTGAATCTTTCTCACTAATTATCTTAGGTGGAGCCTCAGCTGGAGGCTCGTTTCTCCATGCCCAAGACAGACCCCTTTGAAGCACTGCTTTCCTCACTGCCATTCCATTTCATTTGACAACCACTGACCATCAGTGCCACATGCACCTTTGACACTCCAAGCTGTTCTTGGAAAAACCGATAGCACCGACAAATATGAAATATGAAAGCTCTCCCAGTAAACACAGCCATCAGCCAAAGCAGCAAGAATTTTGCTTTTTTTCTTCCTTTTCAAACAGAAGTTACAAGCAAAAGTGAAAGTGAGAGGCTTAACTGGGTTAATCCAGTGAAGAAAAGCAAGAACAAGCATGACAGATCAGAAATGGCACATTTACTTGCCATGGCCAAAAGGTAGGAGCAAGGCTCAGTGACCCCTGCTAAGGGAGAAGGGGGACAGGGAAGGGTAGCACTGAGCTCAGACTCTGTTCTCAGGTACAGGTGAGGTACCTCTGGTGAGCTTGGTCTGATTTTCCTCCATGGCCAGGTTTAAAACCTCACAGAATCAGTGACAGCCTTGGTGAACACTTGGCTCCTGAGAACCCAAAGAGAGAAATACAGTCAGTGCCCACTTGAATTTAATTCACCATCAACTGCTGTGCCCAGGAACAGGTTCTGAGAAGGGTCAGGTGGAGGCAGGTCAAACAGGGCCCAGAGCCTTTCTCTGGATTTACAGTGAAATCTTTCACACTCATGAAAACCACTCTTCAACATGGCTTTTCCTTCAGAAATTTCCTTTGTTCTTTTTCCCTCAGAAATTAGCATGCACCAAGTGACTAAGTCTATTAGACAAAATTGACCTTCGAGTCATTTAGCTAAGGATTTGCCAAAGCCCAAAGGTATTTATTATTCTTATAAGCAATGAGGCATATGGTTGACTTTTCCAAAGGCCATTTCAGAAAGAAAAGTAAATGGCCATTCCTTGAAATGGAAACAAGAGATATTTAAGAACCTTTAGTCCAGATCTGGGCAGGAAGATTTCATCATAAGGCTATGCAAAAAATGCACAAAATGTAGAAAATTAACACTTGAGAGACCCAGTGCTGTGGTTCTCAGAGGACACTGCCACTCCACCCACACTGCTAAAGTACTGAAAGATCGGCGTCAACAGATGGACAAATGTTTGTCAAGCGGCTTTCAGACCTCTGCTCCAAAAGTTAAATGGAGAAGGACTAGCAGAAATAGAGATGGTTCTTTATTTAAGAGGGGGCCAAGGTCTAACACAAAAGCCTGGAGAAATTTCAGTCTGAATGGAGTGAAGTTTTTAACTCGTAGGAGGTTGGATAAGATACTGGGTTTTTAATTTTCACTCTTTATTTTTCTTTACCAGAGATCAAATGCTGTCTATAAAATGCTAAGACAGTGCTTTGGCAAAAGCACAAACCAAAAAAAAACATAATTGACAGAAATTTAACCAAAGCCAAACAATTTTTAAACAAATAGCAAAAGAGTTAGCAAAGGAAAATAAAAGATTTCATATCCTCAGCCTCAAACCTGAGCAATACCTCTGTATTTGACAATCTTCTTGTCTCAGTCAAGAAAGTCAGCGCTTCTGTGCTCAAGAACAAAACAACTAAGCCAGGTTTAAGGAAAAGAAAACTGTAAAGAAAAACCCCTTTGTTCTTTCAGCACTATTTTGATTACTTATCTTTGATTTGGAAGTCAAGGAAGGCCAAACTTGCCTTAAAGAGAGAGTGTAATAGACTTAAATATTAAAATGCACCATCTGTGTTTGAAAATAAAACTCAGTATATTTAATGGACAAACTAATTTAACAATTTCATGGGTATCAGTTTTTTTTTTTTTTGTTAGTCAAATAAGTCATTATTCTCCAAAAAAATCCAGTGCTATGTTTTCACATGGACATAGAATAATAAATGTTCTTCAGACATGCCACACTCAGCAGACTGCCTTGGCAGGGGTTGGTGCTGCCAAATATAAGGGCGGCTTCCCCAGAATTTAAACAGCCCTGGTTCAATAAAGAAGGGTGATAATATCCAGACTAGAGAGGTCCACAGAAGAACAAAGCATGAAACAATGCAAAGAATGCCTCTGCTCGAGGGAAATCAGAGCCATTTTTCTCAATGTAAAGAGGTTTCATGTACTGATGTCACACATTTCATGGGGAAAAGTTGAAAAGCATATTTGCAATTTTTTTTGCCACATCAAAGACTTCTATAAAGAGAGTTTGCAACCTGCTTGGCCAGTCAGCAGTCCTTAAGTTCAGAGCCCAGATGCTGATGTATTTTCTAACAAATAAACCGTGCTGCTCTTGTGTTTCCAGTGCTTACACCCGGTCACCACCAGCCGCCAAGCAATCTGCACAGCTACAGACAGCGACACTGACCTGCCTTGGAAGGCAGAAAAACCTCCACTTCTGACCTTCAAGCTACAAAGAATTGTTTTGCCATGCACTCAACAAGAAAGAAAGAGTGCCAAAGCATGTTAAAATACTACAAGAAGAGAAACACAAGCATTATGGTTCTACACAACGGAAACATTCACATGACATGGAATATTCCAGGCATGACCGGTTCAACACACATTTTGCTTTACTGAAAGTATTAAAAATGCACTGGGACGCCAAAACAAAATGCACCAGTTCCTATGGAACATCATTTGCTGCTTTTACAGAGACATTTCTTCACCAGAAAATAACACTTTGTTAAAGCTCAACTACTTGTGGAAAGAGAGTCACTTTTAAGAAGTTTTATTTGCTAGGTTTTTTAAAATATTTAAGTTGAAAGAGTGGAATATTATGACCCTGCTAAGCACAGCTCTTTTTGGTAAAGGAGAACATGTTATTTTTCTTCAGAAGATAGTTTGTTTCTTTAATTTAACCTAAGTGCTGTAAATTAATTTGATTTATGTATCTGTTGGGCATCTTGAACTCCTGAAAATTTCCAAGACAGGCTATTCATGCTAACTTGAGATCCAGAATTTAAACCTTCTCATTTAAAACATTATTTTGCATTACAGAGTCATTTCAGCAACCAGTTCTGTTGAGAACAGAACCAGACCAGTTTGCTGACCTGAGGAGCAATTCTCATACACAAGATTCTGCATGGCAAACTAAACTCATTTAATCCCATTTCCACCGGAACAATTAGTTGGGTTTTTTAGGAGTCACTTCCCCTGCTCTGTGCTCACAATGCAGAGTCACTTGTGAGTGACTCGGGATTAGCTTTCTTTGACTCAAGGAGCTCGTTAGGTGCTGGCATTACAGTTTGCTTTGAGTCGCTAATCTGGTGATGCTAATTAAGGCTTCCAAAGACTGCTGCAATATTCTAATTACAGAAGCTGCACGTCCTTTAAATCCATTTACTGTAGAACAAAGTAGGGTTGGCGATCTGTGTTGCTTGGCACTACCCTCATAGCAGCATGCTACTGCTTCCCCATGTCAGGATTACTTTAAAATTCCAATGATTAGACAGACCAAAGAGGATGAATTGAAGAGGACAGTAGATATTGAATATCAGGGTTATTTTAACTAACCTTGCTCCTAGAAAAAGCATTCTTGCAACTATGCATCAAGCTACTACAGGCACCCCCTGAACCCCAAATGCTTCTGTGATAACAGGATATTTTCCTCCCACCTACATCCTCCTGGCTCCAGACCCAGCCCTAGAATTCCTCCTGATCCTTGGGATCATGGCAAGAATAAATTGATATTTTCTGGACCTCTCCAGCAACTCAGTCACATATCTCCATCACAAAAATTTGCAATACAGAGGCAGTAGTCTGCCCAGAGAGCTGGCTGCATGTACATTTCCTAGGAGCTACAGCTTCGAGGAACAAAGCATTCTTTCTTTTCTGAGATTTTATTAAAACATTTAATTGTTCAATTTCTAGTTAAACTTAATGGTCCCAACCTAATATATTCCAAAGCCTCTGGTTTTTTTGCCCACAGTGCTGAAAAGTGTCAGGCTTTTGCAATCATTTCTAATCTGGCAGAATTCGGATAGCTTCATGTTCACTTTACCTATTTTTGCCAAATATGCCTTGTTCTCAGCACAGTGAGCAACCAGGGAGCATCAGAATGCAGAAATTCTGCAGCTCTTGCCACTACAAACTGGGTTAAAAAAGTAAAACTCTCAGAGGAGCCAACTGAAAATCTGAAGGAAGAAACCACACACATTCAGTGTGATCAAAGTAATTTGTTTTTATTTCAGCTTCCCAATCACAAATTCACTTATATTTCAAACTGGAGAGCTCTCCTGAGGTCCAAAATCTTCCTTTCCGTATGTGTTAGAACTAAAAAAAAATACACTACAGTGTGAAAAGGAAAATGAAATGCAGTGCAAAGTGTATGGCTGGTGACACACCAAAGGGCTGGAAACCAGCATCTGAAAAGTTTTTTCAGCAGTGCTGAAAAGGGGAGGCAAGTTTGTGGAACATCAAAACTTTTCATTTACTACCAAATAAAATTGTTACCTGACACAGCTGTGGGCAAAGGATCAGGTGAAGTTGTAGGAGGGTATTCCTTTAACAAATGGCAAGACAAAAGGTAAATTGTTTCTAATCCTCTGATGCAGAGCTGTCAGAGGGAAAAAAAAGGTGTAAAACTCAGTGTTGGTAATGTGGCCCCCCACACTCCTCAGCACAGAACAAGGGACTCACAGAGAGCACTCCCAAATGTCAAAGCTATTAAATACTGCATAAAGCTAAGTATAAAGAAAGCCAGGTTAGCCAGGTGGCCACTCCATGAATCTAATAACACTGGTCTTTTAATATTTCTCTTACTTCTCTCATTTACAGTATTTTCAACCATGCCATTTGGAGAAAGATGAAAAAAATACAGGGGGAAACCATGCAAAACAAGAAAGTCGTCAGCACTCTTTCTGTCCCACAATTAATATTGATTGCTTTCTGATTTTCATAGGAATTTTTCAGGAACCTGGCAATGCAAGATTGATTTCTGTACTTCTGGGAATGATAGGTTATCAATATAATTGCTGCCATCAGTGCTTTTTCACAATCCTTTCTGATATTTCTGCTCCAGGGGCAAATTAGTGCCATGTTGACTATTTCCTCACTTGAAATGGCTACCAGTGCATAGGGATTTTATTTCTATTTCCCCCCACCACCAATAGCAGAGGTGATAGCTACTCCAGCCCCAAAGTACCATTTTTTTATTATTACTGAACACTAAAGAAGCATTAGTAAAAAGCCTAAAAACCCAAATATCTTTCTGGCACTTATTTCTGCAGGTAGGTTTTTTTTTTCTCAGATAGCAATTCTGTATGCAGAAAAATTGCACCTTTACAATTGTTGTACCTTCTTTGGGAGCACAGGGAATTTAGGGAACCTTAAAGCTTATGCTGCACTTCACAGGTAAATAACAAAGCAGCGAGTCAGGCTGGTGCTGATCATGCAGATAAACCAAGCATGGGGGTGCTGAGCAGCTCCAGGCCAAGATGAGATTTTAGATGCTCATCACCCTTCTGCGTCCACCTACCAAAATGTGCTCAATCCTCCATCAACTCACACCTCTGAGCAGGGATCAGATCTTCATCACCACCCTTTCATGCACGTGGCACCCAGATTTTCATCGTCCTTGGTGCATTGTGAGAGAAGAAAACATTCTCCAGGAGCAAGAGCACTCATCCACACATGAGCCAAATCCAAAGCAGCTTCCTAAGGCCAAGCCAAGTTATTTATGACCTTCTCTCCAGCTCCCCACCAAGAGAAAAGCACACCATAAGGGCTAATCTGGAACCTATTGAAACCACTGGGCTTTGGAGAAGGCCTTTAACTCCAACCATCACAGCTTACATGTGGCTTTCCTACATCCAGAGAGGTGCCCTGGAAATATCACACCCCACAGTAGCAAAAGCCTCAGACTCTCACTTCAATTGAGCTTTGATTCACTTCTCAAGTGTTAAAGGATTTAGGCTCTCCATTGAGAAGTAATAGCAGGAGCTTTACATCTGTGGTATCCAAGCCTTCACAGTAGTACATCCTCTGAAATACAGCAGGTCAAAAACCTTCCACAAAAAAAAAACAAACCAAAAAGGAGTTGCTGTTCTTTCCCTTTTCAATCTGAGGACTTATTAAAGCAGAAGCTTTCTGTGACAAAATATCTGTTGGAGAACAAAGTATTTCTCAGGCCAGCATTCTAAATGGAGATCAGTGCTTATCCCCCCCAGAAATGTCAGGACATACTGACAGCTGAGTAGAACATGACTTAAACCCCAGCCTGTCTGCCAAGAAGGCAGCTGCCAGTAATGTGGCATCTCTATCCCTGGGATGCTGTAAACTCCAGCACTATTTCTGGAGACCCTCAGAATTTTGAACGTTCACATGCTTAATCTCAATTCCAGAGAATTCAAACAAAGGGGTGAAAAGTCTCTATATTTCTTTTGGTTCAGTGGGAGTTTTTTTTCAAGCCAAGTCCAGCTCTATAATTCTGACATTTCTCTGCTCTCCTCAGAGGCTTTCAGACTCCTCCATCAGCCCTGTCCCTGTGCAGCTGCAGCCTGGGGAGGGACAGGTTAGGAACTCATTGGGTAATAATGGGACTGGCAGCAGCAGTGCCCTTACTGTGGTGAGCAGGAACTCACAAAGCCTCTGGTAAAACCCTGCTTCATTCTGTGAGGCACAGGTTTGCTGTAAATCTCTGTAATAGGTACAAAGGTGGCCTGAGCCAACTCAGATAATAGAGTTTGCTGGCAGCCTAGGAGACAGGCTGAGCTGAGGCTGGACATAGCACCAAGCCACCATCCCAAGGTGCACATCATCCCCTAGGCTTTACTGTCCATGTGTAACCACAAAGAATTCACCCTGAGTTCAGCACAGAGACGCTGCTTGCCAAGAGGAGGCTCATTTGGATGTTAGCAGGGCTGGGGAGCAGCAGCACCCCCAGCATCATTTCAGCCTGCAGAGACCTCTTTACCCGAGAGCTGATTTGGCAGCAGCTGTGGTGTTACAGGGTCAGACACAAATTCTCTTTTACTGAACCCCTGGCCCATCAAACATACATTTACAATGGATAAATATGTGCAGCACAAACAAGTCAGAGGGATTACCAGGATTAGCCACAGTCTCCTCTGCTGCTGCCAACATTTCAGGCAGTCCCTCGTATACAGCGAGGGCAGCACATCACAAATGCACGGTACCTATAAGCCACATCCACTTGATGAACCATGAAATGTCAAAGACACAAGTAAAAAAGGGGTGGATATCTGTTCCTTGACAAAAGGAAAATACTGGAAACAGTGCATGCCTACGAACAGCATCACAAGGTCAGCCACTGCCAGGTCCAACTCCATCCTGGAGCTGAAAAACCAATTCCAGTGTGTGAATCTCTTTCAAGTGTAGCCTTGAACATGTGAAGTTATTCCTCTTGACTCTCCAAAACAATGGAGGCCCTTTGGAAAACTTACAGAAGCATCTAGTTATTACACCTAGTTTCTGCTGTCTGGAGGACACTGAGGGTTGGTGAGCCCTGTGCCACCATTTGGCAGCTGATGTTTCACACCCCAAACCACAGGAGCATCCCTCTCTAGGATGGAGAGGAAACACCAGAGGCTGCTATCAGCACTGGAGGTTAGCTTCAAACCAGACAGATTTTGGGTTTGGTTCTTTTTTTGGTTTGGGACTTTTTACCTTGGTTTTTGGTGGGGGAGGGTGCATGTCTTTTTGTTTGGGGTTTTTTGACTTAGAGAACTTGCCAATTTCTGCCCCAATACATTACAACATGAACACATAACTCAGGTAAGCCTCTCATAGTATTTGGGGTGACTTTGGCTATTTCTGTAACATGTGACTGTGATCAATTAGAAAGAGGCCCCTGTTCCTGAAAACTAGAGGGGTGTATTTTCCATAAAACAAAATAAATGCTCTTCTGTAATATATAGGCATGGACACACACATCCACACCCACCCAGCATGTATTTAACAAACAATACCTCATTTGTTAATACTCTACAGTTGTTAGGCGTGTCTAGTGAAGCATTAATATAACATTTCTCAAACAAAGTTCTTGTTCTGCTTGATCTATTTGGTAAATGTTTGGTAATCTATCTTGATACACTCCTGTCTGTCAGGGGCTGCTGCCTCATTCATACTTTTGCAATTAAGGCAGGTAGCAGCACTAGGAGGTACCTTCCTAGGACACTGCAGCCCTTCTTCCTTAACTAAATACGAGAACAGTTTCACTGATTTTGAAAATGATGTGAAATATGAATTAGAACTAAAATTAAGTATTTATGGTCAGCATTTAACAGAATGTAAAGAAATAGCAATGCATCATGTGAACTAGAAATATTGCCAGTCTGTTTCCTGCACTAAGGATGAGTACAAGGTTTGCACCAAGGACTTAATATTGTAAAATCACAGGATAACATGCATGGAAACACATGGCTTTAATGCTTGAAATTTATTTCTGCTGTAGGTACCTCCTGGGGTCAAATTTTAGAGTATTTTTTTCCTCTTAATAATTTTGGATTTTACAATCTAGGGTCATTTTATGTTGTCATCCATCTTACTATAAATAAATAATAGCTAATTTGGTAGACATGTAACATGATTCACCAAGGATATTTTCAAAGAAAAGACTTCATTAGATTCCCTCAGTGGGGTTTGCTGTGCATTTTCCAAGATGTTGGCTGTCCATATATGTTTTGTTTTCTCAAGGAAAAGGTAAATAACTACTACCTTTTTTTTCTATGAAAAATCAAAAAAAGGCTCTACATTTCTCCAAATCAACAAACCTCTACCACACTTCACAATTGCAAGACTACAGCCAAAAACAATCCTCAAGGACTACCTGTGTGATCACATACAGAGAGGTCCTGACACAGCACCCTATTCAAAACCAGCAGGTGATGTAACATTCCTGGTGTTTTGGGGAGCTTCTGGAGATATTCCTTCTAAGAGGTGATTCTAGTAGACCAGCTGTGCAACTGGTGCCATCCACTCTGATATCAAGGCCTTTGCTCCAAACCAACTTCAACTAAAGGAGCAATGCCCAAGGCAAACCATAATAACTTGAGAAAGACAGCAGCACCCATGGTGGTAGGGTTGGCCAGTGGACAGGGCACAGACAGAGCTCTCACAGTGTCACTTGTCACTGAATGCTTCTTTTTGAGGAACAGGCTAAGGTTCCTCAAAAGCACCCAAGTCCCTCAGAGCAAACCTAAAATACAAATCCCAGGCATTTCAGCGCACTGAGGTTTGGGGTGGATTAAGCAAGCAAGAGGCAGAAGGAAATTATTTCACTTGCTTTTTTCATGCTGTAACTTTAACCAAGACCAAACAGCAGAGAACAGGAACTACTGTGACAAATTTTCTTGGTCAAGAACAGATGTCACTGCACAGTGAGGGGTGGCAGGACAGGGTACAGCCACGAGCACATTGGCACAGGGCTGCACAGCTCCAGCCAGGACCACTGGGTGTTCCCCCAAACAGCATCTGCACGTGGAGGGAGCATCTCTGAACAGCCATGAGGAGCTGGAAAAGGTAAAACAAAGGTTCCTGCAACTGTGTAAAAGAAGGTAAGGAGCTGGATGTGGAAGTCTTAGCTCTGACACTAATGCAAGCTGTTCTTCCTCCAGCATGAGTCCTCTCTCCCAAGGGCAAGGCATTGCTTAGCTACTACACCTGGACTTGGTGTATCTCCTAACACTCCACTGCCATCTGCTACTGAAATTTCAGTGTAAGAGTTCCTAGATTGCCTCTAAGTGCTGCAAATGGGCTTGTGGATTTAAGAGACAGGATTTGTGGTACACAGAAGCTA